TACATATGTAAAATATTAGAACAGTATATAGTTTACAAAATAATTTTGGGAACATTCAGATCTTAATTGGTAATGCATCGTTTTTTTACAATTAGATATTTTTTATCACTGGAATATAACAAGATATATATATAAAGAGAGGTACAAAATGTTTTCCAAACATTCAAAATTCGACTACTAATAAAGTCAATTCTAATAATATATTAGATAAGTATATATATGTATATAATGCCCATAATACGTTGATTGTCGCGATTTGCACGATCCTATGTCAAAATCCGCGAAAATTCGAGATAAGAGATTCGTAAACAAGTTCTTTTTTATATTATTGAAATATTATTGCACACATTTTCTAAAAAAATTTACTACGCATTATTCGTTATGTATATATCGATAAACACACGTAATTTAATTCATGAGATTTTTTTGTTCCAGGTTTGTGGAAATGTATGCTTATATGTACACTTATATAAAACAACATATTCATTATTATGTACAATTTTGTAATTTGTTGCGTTTTGCATGCATGTAATATTTAAGTCAATAGTCGATAATTTTTTATTCCTGAGCTATTGTCATGTACATTGCAGTCAAATCTAATACTACAAACAAATAATACAAATGCAATTGAATATTTGAAAGAAAAATCATGGTCTTGCTCTTTTATGTGATAACACATATTTTTGCTCAAATTTCTTTTTTATGTTTAATTATATATACATACATATGATAACCTTCATATTTTATGCACATTTCAGAATATTATCTATCATATTGTTTATGATTTCTTTCTCTTTTTTGACATATTTAACTGCATTAATGAGTATTTATATAAAATCGACTTTTTACTTGTCATTTTGCACACTACATATCTAAATAATTAAACATATTGCTTATAAATATTATAATTTTATGTTTTTTCTACATTTTTCAAAAAATATTAAGTTTTATATCGATATGATATACATTGGCATAATAGTAGCATTATTTATTATGATTTTTTTATATAATCTTTCATTTACTGGGCAACATGTGCAAAATTAAAATGCATTTCACATTTCTCATATGCATATGTTGACCACTTTACTGTTGTATATTGGTTATGATGTACATCCAAGGCACATGATACTTTAAAATCAACACAACTTAATCCTATAATGTTATATATTTATTATTGGCACAAAAATATCAATGCTAGGAGAGAGAAAATTATATCTTTTTTACCATATTGTTAAACATGAAAATTCGTTAGTAAACTATCATTAGAAAGTTTCCCTGTTTGATGTACATATGCGCGACATATAGACAGGCCACAATGGTATTTAACAACAAAATGAGCATTGATGTGTCAATCTAAGTACTCATTGAAGTCCATATCCAGCTTACCTGCAGCGACTGTACTGGCCGTTGATGGTGTGTACATTGAACTTGTCTCATCATCTAAGTCATCCTGGCTACTAAGTCGTCCTATAATATATTACATACAGATCACTTAAAAATTTATATAACAGCTTACAAGCAGTTGTTTTCTTTTTTAAAAAAGATTTTAGTGAAGAATGAAAATGAATAATTGTTTTAACATAAAATGTATTACATGATACAAGTTTTATATGTGTATGTTAGTTATGTAATTCTTGTATTAAATTAGGAAGAAAAAATGTATTATTTGATTTAATTTTTGTAAATTCTCAGATGCAATAGAAATAATAATTAATTGTTAATAGCCAGAATAGATTAAATACCTCTTAATCCAACACCTCTACCATTAGATGTCCCTCTATACAAAATGGCCTCTAAATAGCTTAATCCATTATTGTTAATTATATTGAAACCACAGAGCAATTCAATTTGCTTCCAACGATGTACTCTTTCTTTCAGCTCACTTGTTACTTCATTTAATGAAGTTCTTGCTTCAACTATACTCTTATCAACTTCGTCAATGGATTTTCCATGAGTCGAAACAAAAGCACCTACCAAACTGGAACGTTTCTTTCGTAATTTCTCACACTGCAAAATAATAGACAAATATTTTTCTAGCAATGAAATTTTTTTGTCAGTATCATCTGGCAAATTAATTATAAAGGTGGCATAATATATAAATTGTAGAAATTGCATTGAATAATTTATAAATAGTTATTTTTCTTACCGCTTCTCGTGCCTGTTGAAGCTGTTTTTCAGCTGCTATCCTCTTATTTATATATGCTTTGTTCTCAATTTCATGAGTTAATTGTAGCCAATGCTGTAATCCAGTTGGTGGCGACCAGCATCTATCTTCAAGTTCACCCTCTGCTCGTTGTAATTCCAGCTTCAGCATCTGCAAAATATATAAATCGATATGAAAATAGGATAAATGTATTAAATATATTCATCATATATGTAAATGTGGAATAAATGAGAAACGGTATTAACTTCAATTTCCGCTTTCATTTGCGATACTTCAAGGTCTGAATATGAAGTATGTAATCCCAAACTTTCATCTTGCAAACGTTTTTCCAAATTTTGTTTCTCAGTAGTTGCACTTTCTTGTTCCATTCTTGCTCTCTCCAGCTCTTTCTGCAATCAATTATATAATGTTATTTTAATAAAATTCTCAAGTTGAAGAGTGATCTAATTTTAATTTTAATTAGAGAATTAATTTTTTGAAGAAAAATACCTGTAAATTTTCCAGTGTAAGTTCTGCCTTTTGCAAACTTTCCATATCTTTCATCATTCTATAAAGATCCTTTTGGGAATTTTTCTTTTGTTGATATGCGTACCAGCATCCAATAAGTGCTCCAAATAACAGTGTAACTAATATTAAGTCTTTGATGCTGTGTCCAGTATCTATTAATTATTAACTATAGAATTAATTTTCAGAGAAAATATATCGTATACCATGTCATAATATTAAATAAGTATTACCTTTAGGAGGTCCAAAAAGAACAACATCCATTGCTTTTAAGGCAATTTTTTGTTTATGGATGGGATCTTTAATACCCAGAACATTATTAAGATAATGCATATTGTTCACAGCTAATCTAAAATAAATTGTAATAAAAAATTCATATATACACATATATATAGTTTATATATTTTCTTATTAAAGAATCATAATAATAAACTCACCGAGGAAGCGTAGCACCAGTTACACGATGCTGTATGAAAGTAGGAACATATTGAGGAAGCTCAACGTTGGAAGTTAACCATTCTGATGTTTGTTCTATTGTCCAGTTATGAACCTAATTTATAAAAACGTTACAATGCATGAGATATAATAACATTACATGGAAAATCATAAATATCTTTTTGTTACTATTTAAAATAATCTCTATATAAAATTTTATCGCATTACTTCTGATCGCAACCAAGCTTCCCAGAGTTCTCGCACACTGATTTGCATATCGTCATTATGGTGGAAAGCCCTCTGTCTCCGTTCATAACCAGCTTCGTATTGCAGTTCTTCTCTTAGAAACTGTCAAAGTTGGAAGTACATTTGTATAACATCTTGTATACATTGTGTAATAGACATTTTTCTCGCAACGATATAATCATCCTTACATCGTCCGATTCGGATAGATCAACGTTTCCATTAGCATCGTCATCCAATTGACTGTGGAGAGCCCTTATAGCTTCTAAGGCTAGACGATCGACCGAAGCCATAGTGATGCAAGCTACGTCGTCATTACAAGTATCCGCAGCTGGAATAAATTAACTTAGACATATAAAGTGTTCAACCATAGCATCCGTGTATATTCATGCGACACGAAACGACGATTTACTAGATTCGTGAGCCACTGCTTGGGCCAATCCATCGGTGAGGGTGGCGGAAAACGCTACTATTTTGGAATGTGAAGGGCTCGAGGCACCGGTTTGAAAGGTCGGGGTAGAATCGAGCGCTCCGCCAGTGGCCGCTACCGTATCGAATAACCAATACAACAGATGAATTCCCAACGGTAGAAGCGCGTTCACTGATGTTCGCATCTTAGGTTAGCGCTCCAGCTTCCTTACTGACAGCTTCGCGCCCCTCTTCGCACGATCCAACAGATAAGATCCGCGATGGAATCAGCGGAGGAAATCCTTCTAAACTCTCTCTCCCCGTGCTCACGTCCGACGCTGATTCGCGATCGTGAATATATTCAAGGTTACTACAATTCGGACCCGGACCGACGATATATCGTCTCGACGAGCGCATAACAAGCGTGACCGATTACGAATGAGACAGCTTCATAAATGTGTCACGCGCTAATATTATCAACTCCATGAAAGCAGATTCCGTTGTTAATACTCGTGATACATGAAAATATTTGATTGCTTCGTTAATTAAGTCAAATTAAGTACATACACACGCTCTCTCTCTCTCTACTATTCCGAATCAGATGTTTTATCCAAGGCTACTAATAGCACTTCCGATTCACACGACTTAATCGATTTAAGATCAACTTTCATGTGAGCTTGTTTTTAATTAGAAGCGCGTTCAGAAAAAAATACACACTACGCGCGGATAAATAAAAATATTTTTTTTTTTTTTATTTTCTTATATTTATGTAGCTATTGCTTTAATTCAAGGTGCGCCCCTATTCGAAAGAAAATATTCTTGAGTTACATGTTTCCCGAAACATCCTCTACGAGTAAAATTTTCCTCGGAGACGACGTTTTGGAACGTAACCTTGGAGTAAAATAAAAATTCATGAAAATTGAACGTAATATTATTATGCAATCTGCGGTTATAAAGCGCTGCTGTCTTTAGTACCTTTGAATAACGATAGAATATCGTATCTAGATATTTCGTGCATCATGACTCAGAATTGTGTCTGACATCTTAGCATTCGTGTTTGATATATACATGTGAAAGATTAAACATAAGGTTAAAGAATAAATAATAAAGATTTTGTGCAATATTGAAAATATGGATTATCACAGCTAGAACTACTTCTTTTTCAGAAGAAAATGACCATGTAAACTCTGGTTTTACCGTACATGTTACTGAAATATATCGATGTATACGAGAAAACTATGCGTCAGATATAAATAAAGAATTAACATTTGTTATGCTCGAATGACGAATTCACGCATTTTACGATTCGGAATATTCGTTTGAGTAAGAAAAAGAGGACTATGAGAATGTCGAGTGCGATAAAGAGATCAGGAAAGATATATTTTAACGTAATTTTGTTTCTGGCCGAATAATTCAGTGTGTTTCGATGCGAAGTAGAAATGGCGGATGTTATATTTATCACGCATTTCGTACTCTTGTTGACATTCAAATTATGTTCAGGTATGCGGATAAATTATCGTGAATTTCAAGCAATATTCATCGTATCATATGTAATTTTAAATGAGATGTAAATACTTGTATTTTTATATATTGTGTTACTCAAGTATATAGTTTTGCACTAGTGTTGCTTTTGGATCTAGCAAAACATTATTAGATCCTTATTTTTACAAGACATAAATAAAACTCCAATTTATGCAATATATATTGCAGAAATTTCGCGTCTTTTATTAATTTTTATTATACTTGTTTTTATTACAAGTATAAATGCATTGTACTAAATAATTTATTATGATGTTCTTTGCTTAGTATTTATATACAATTTTTAACTTATATTCTAGGCGAAGGAGCGATTGCGTTACAAGAGCAAGATATTTCTCTTGATAATGAAAAATTAAATCTACCTGAAACGTTGGAGCATAGTCTTGCTAGTAATACAGTTAGCCAGAGACGTTTCAAATGCCATATATGTGAAGATTCCGAGTGTTCATTATCTAGCATCTGTGAAGATGCAATCACTGTAAAAATTTTTATATTTTTTATTCAAAATCTTCAAATTTACATCTTTTCTTGTAGAATATAAATCAACATTTTTGTTTTGTTTCATAGTGTTGGAAGTCCAGGGTGAAAGAAGCTGACGGTACTGAATCTGTTAGTCGCGGCTGTTACAAATTAGAGGAACATAAGTTGTTTATGTGTAATAAAGAAGACCACCAAGATGCAGAACATAAGGAAAGGCATGTTAGAGGGTTAACAAATGGTGTTCAATATTCTGTGGAATGCTGTCAAGCAGATTTTTGTAATGTTGGCCCGTATCCTGTACTGCAAGATTATTCGACTAGTAAGATAATCTAATCTGTGTACACATATCCATCCAATGATGCTATAGTCCAAGTCATACCTGGGCTTCCTCAAGTGTTCGCCTCCAAATATCTCTGTCTCCTGCCATAATCCTCCAATTACATCTCTACAACAGCGCGCGGCTATTCGCATCTATAGAATCTATCCATGCTTGCGTGACTCCATGATCCCAAAAGTAGTCTCTTATGTGTTTCCGAGGTCCTTGCCGATATATCCAATTCGAGATATCCTTTGAGGTTTCGAGACAAATTTATTTTCCGGAATTAGGTTGTCAGCCTAATGCTCAACTCCAACCTGGAGGTACACATATGCACACACAAAAATATATATGTAAAATTGAATTGTAATAAGATGATTGATATTGTTAGAAGCAGTTTTTATATTTGTATACGGTTTTTAGATGCTGATAGAGGAAATTATGTAGTGAAATTAACATTTGCGATTCTCGGGCCAATGATTGCATTGCTTGTCGCTGGAGGGATTCTATTCTGTTTATTAGCGCATCGAACGCGAAGAAAACGGCCGATGGCGTCTCGTCGGAATAAACTTATTATAGATTCCGATATTGAGCCTTCCATGTTACATTTCTCTTTTTCCTCGCCTACATCGTCCGCTACTTATCATCCGCACGAGCTTAGAGCAACAGCGGCTGGTGATAGTACACTTAAGGTATATAATGTTAATTTTTTATTTTTCTGTGTTTTACATAACGCGCGTGCGACATATATTAATTAATTTTACCAACTATATTTTTGTAGGAGTACCTAGACGGCCGAAGTTTGACAAGTGGTTCTGGTTCTGGATTGCCCTTGTTAGTACAAAGAACTTTAGCTAAACAAGTAGCTTTAGTAGAGTGTCTCGGTAGCGGTAGCAGTGGAGGATTCGGCGGAGAAGTGTGGAGAGGAATTTGGCATGGCGAGAATGTAGCTGTAAAAATTTATTTCTCGCGGGACGAAGCCGCGTGGGCTCGGGAGACCGAGGTTTATTCTAAGTTGTTACCATCTAGACACGACAATATTCTGGGATATGTTGGCAGCGATATGACTAGTAGAGCTAGCTGCACTCAGCTCTGGCTGGTGACGCAGTATCATCCTCTCGGTTCGCTCTTCGATCACCTCAATCGGTCGCCGCATCCGTTGACACATCATCAAACGCTCAATATTTGTTTGAGCATCGCTAACGGTTTGCTTTATTTGCACACGGAGATTCACGGTACTAGAGGGAAACCAGCTATGGCTCATCGTAATCTTAAATCGAAGAATATCTTGGTCAAGACTAACGGTGGTTGTGTAATCGCCGATTTTGCATTAGCTGCTACGCAGGATCGTCTTACAGTAGACAGAATCGATCTACGGCAAGGAACTAAACGTTATACAAGTCCCGAAATTCTCGATCAAACGTTAGTGCAGCACTTTTTCTCTTTTTACTTTCATACTACTACAAGCTGGTCAAATTGATCACAATGTCTATTCTGATTCATTTCCAGAGTAAACATTGAATGTTTAGAGAGCTTCAGACGGGCCGATATCTATAGTTTAGGATTGGTAATGTGGGAAGTCTGTCGCAGATGTATAAGCAATGGCGTAGCCTTGGAATACGCGATGCCGTACTATGAATGGCTGCCTAGCAATAATCAAGAACCCTCCATAGAAGAAATGCGTAAATTAGTCTCGCTCGACCAGCGAAGGCCGCCGCTTCCTAATAGATGGCATTCCGACCCGGTAAATTATTTTTTCGATTCTAGCATTTGTCAGAGAAATATTGCAATATATGTATATCAGAGCTAAAAAAATTAAGTTTAAATTATTTATTACGTGAATAATTGGAATAAATGCTATTTCTTTTGCAGACATTAGCCGGGATGGGAAAGTTAATGCGAGAGTGTTGGCATGGGAAACCGGCGGCCAGATTACCCATTCTTAGGGTAAAGAAAACGCTCGTTAAATTAGCAGCTAATGATTCTCGTGTTCATTTACCGCTCGATTGACCAGCATTCATCTTACCGAGCTCTCTTTCATCCATGTATTTATTACTGTTGCTGCAACAACCCGTCACGCGCATTGTAAGTTCGATCATTATCATCGTCATCAACAACAATCGTGCGTTATCGGATGCATTATATCAAGATAAAAAAATATCGCATATCGACATATCGAAATAACAATGTTAATACGTTTGTTAATGTTTGGCATATGAATTCTGTTGCCTTACGTTCTTTATTACTGTTACCATTCTGGAACAATGATAGTATTAAGATTAAGTATAATATAGTTTTGTAGCGTCAATTGAACCAAATCGCTAAGTAGAAATATTGTTAATTCCACAAGATGGTTCAAAATTATCTATTAAAAAAACAGATATTATATATGTAGGAATGTACAATGAATTTTTTTCATAATCTACGCAAATGAGACAGGAATAGATGATTTTCTCAATTATGTTCAAAAATTGAGTATATTCTACATGTATATAATAATCATTATTTTAATTTATATTGAAAAAGCAAATATTATTTCTATCAAAACATTTTTTACATGCTTTCTAAGCGATTATGGCTCGGTTCGATTCAAGTTGTCATACAAAAACAGTAATCTCTTAATTAAATAATTGTAATATAATATTGTTAGTAAATTTCTTTTGAGGATCTTTTCAGTATAGCGCGCAATAGTTTGAATAAGTGATTAAAAAATATTTGTAAATAGTGTGTATCTCTGTATCGATATAGCTATCATACAATTAATTAATACATAGCTATTATCATATGTCTTTCTCATAAAATCATCAGCATAATATAGACAGAAATAAGAATAAATGGTGCGAAAGTAGCAAACTATTATATACAAAAGGTATTATACATTTTTCTGTATAATACTTGTAATAATTTCATGAATTGCTTTCTTATAGACTATGTTCCACTTGGCGATCGCAATACTCGTAGGATCATTTCAACCTTATTTTTTATTGAGAATTAAACAAGGGTAAATGATATCCGCGAGTTTTGTGATCGCCAAGTAGAATGTAGTCTTGGCATCTATATATAAATAACCAATGCATTATTAAAGATGAGGATAGATGTATAAATAGCAGAATATGTAGTATATAATTGTATGTAATAAAATTATTGTACAAAGATTTTTGTACGTAACACACACATATGCTATATGTTGACTTGAATATGATACAATGCTTTATCTTGAAATTTGTTTATTCTTTAAGAGGTAATGACAATAATCTTTCTAACAATATTCTATTATCTAAACTATGGTTACCGACACATTGCTCGAAGAATTGCCGGAGATGTGACGGATCGTTCGTGTGTAATAAAATGATAAATGCATATCGCCATATTAAAGGTTCTAATTCAATTGGATATTCCAGAAGTCTAGGGAATAAATTTAACGCATGGTTCCAATCTTGACGAGTGATGTACGATTGCATCTCCGACAGTGCCAGACTTTTTGAAAATCCTACGAGTGACGTTCTGCTTCTTCTACTGCTCTGGAAACTCTTGCAATAATGGGTTTTACGATCGTTAGCTATTTCTTCCATATTCTTTCGCCGTTTTTTATCATAGTTACGTTTTGTTATCATTTGTATAGCTTTCTCCTAAAAAATCATAATATTGTAATACTTAATTATGCAATTTAAAATTGTCATAGTTTATATGCTAAAAAAATTACATACCACATTAGATTTTCTAATTTTTCGAGCCGATGTGAAATCGCACGACATGATGACTTGTGCCAGAGAGAAACCTGAGAGACATGCACCAATCGATCGTTTTACCATGGCACCGAAAAGTGGATCCGGCCACGTAGTTCCGCCGGCTCTAAAATGGATCCAGTTAGCGCCACTGTACCGGCTAGAGAAAGCGTTACAGGAAAAACGGCGGCGTGGCCCCTCTCAGGTTTCTCTCTGCTTGTGCGCACTTATTCTTTCTTAGATTTTCGAACACGTATAAAGTATCACATCGATAACCCTATGCGCATTTATGCGTTCTCAAAATATAAAGTTTATACAAGTTTATATTCCTGAAGAGATACTTTTTCTATATTTCTCGCATGTATTTGTGGGTCTATTAATTGATAAAAAGACACAGTAGTTTTTTTTTATCCTTTCTCTTACAAATCTTATTATGAAGACCGAAAATCGAAGACAGGCAAAAGCATCAACTCTTGTTCCTGTAATGAAAGATGGAACACATGTATGATATATATATATATGCGTATATTCGAGCATGGAAAGAGAGAGAGGGAGAGAGAGGGAGAGAGAGTGGAAGAAGTATAAGGGTGCCATTACATGAAGCGCGGAAACGCGGATTAGCTTAACACGGAACGAGAAGGGAACCAATCGCGAGCGTAACAAAAACTGCAGAATGCTCGCGATTGGTTTCACTCTCGTTCCGCGTTACGCTAATCCGCGTTTCCGCGCTTCATGTAATGGCACCCTAAACGTGCGAGCAAAACAGAGAGCAGATCTAACCTTGTTGACATCAGTGGTCGCACATCGCACGCGACAACACTTTAAAGATTTGGAGACATGTTATACTATTTTAGTATGCATATTCGAAATAGTGACGGTTTCCGGAAGAATAAAATCGTAGTTGGAGTTTATAATTATCTCCATAGATTTGGTAAAAATTAACTTTATTAAAAAATATGGAGAAACCCACGAGTGAACCTATCGTGCGAAATGATACCAATTCATCGGCATCCTCTGTTTCAATCATCGAATCGCCCAGAAAATGCAATTTATCTTTCTCGATTAACTTTGATTTCAATGATGTCGATAACGAAAATTCGACCGATTCTGAAAATGCAGATTTACAAATTGATATATCCGAAGTTGATAAATATGAGCCGTCTAGTAAACATAAACGAGAAGCTATTGAAGAAGCATCGGTACTTAATAAAATGGAAGAAGAGATTGAGAGACAACTCGATGCTAAAGCTGCCAAAACTAATTTAACTGCCACTAACGTTAAAAATATATTAAAACATGTGATCCCTTACGAACATTTAATGACGATGATACAAAAATGGCTTGAAGATACGGAAGATGATTTTAACTTTGGTCCCAAACTCACAAGAGCTAAAGCTAAGTATGTATTGTTTTATTTATTGTTAATTTTGTTATTCATACATATAATAGTTATTTTTGCTGTATGCATGGATAAAATTTTCTTTCTTATAGAAAATTAGCGGCTGCTCAGGTCAATATACCATGGCCTATCACTACAACACAGAAAGCTTCATCGGAAGTGCAAGCTTTGATTCAGGAGGAATTGCCAGAAGATTCATCCGATGAAGAATATAATCCTGATCATGATAAACATACAGAGAGTGATGATGATAGGGAAGTGGAAAATACAGCAAATAGTGATATGGAATCACAACAATCAACATCAACAAATAATAGGAATGTATTTTGTCCTGAACAACAAAGGTCATCGGATATACAATATGATCCTGAAGGAATTTTTAAAATACCAGCGTATGTGAGAAATAATTATTCATATGTACTGTCTGATAATGGCTTGTTCCATTTTTCTAGTGAGGTGAAGGAGTGGTGATACCTATCCTACATTTATCTCCGCTCCTACGTTCATCTCGCTAGGGGAACGGAACAAATCATTATTGGACAATGTACAATATTATAATAGAAGTTGACTTGATTATAATTGCTTTTCAAATTGCTTCTTAATATTAATCCGTTTTAATAATAATTGACAAATATTATATTTCAGTGTTCCACATGTTGCAACAGAGGAAGAAAGTATTGGTCAGAGAACACGTTCTAAATTATCTTTAAGTGAAACTTCTTTGGAGGAAATAGAGCAAGCATTTATACCACCTGACATAACTGCTGATATGACTGATGATTGGGATTTTGAACTCGATGAAGATTGGGATAACTTTTTAAAAGAATTTACGCAACCTTTAACACAAGAACCATTTATAGAAGATGATCCAGAAGCAGATCCAGAATATAACATCTTAGAGGATGAAGAAACAGATTTATGTATGTATTGTTATAAAATAATTCTTTATATTTTATTCTGTTATTTTCTTTCTTGTTATGTGATTGATCTTTAACTTTGATAAATGTTAATAGTGGACAAGGAAGAACTCAGGACAGATAAAGCAGTAGAAGTTCCTCGTAAAGAACAATACGATTTAATTGCAGAATTACTTGAATTAACCCCTATGTTCTCAACACAAGAAGAAGAAATATCAAGAAGAAAAAAGATTCCAGACAATGTAACTCCACCGATTGAAACTAATACCATGGTAAGAAAACTTATTTATGTTATATATTAAAAGGCAGCGGTAATCGAATTTTCACATTTTCATACTTTTTAGAACTCTTCTATGGTAGATCTTTTACCGGTACTTGCAGAACCCGAATTACCAAAATTAGTAAATTTTGAACAACGTCTTTTATTAGCCACACAATTTCGGCAACATATACAATTAATGGCACAGCATTTTGTTATGACTTACATGCATCCAGAATATCATTCACTATCAAAAACATGTAAACAGAACTTGAATAGCTTAAGGTACGAGGAAAAGATAATAAAAACATAATATACTAGAAGATAATAAGTCAGACAAAAATCACAAAATTCTGATAAAACATTCTAGATATTTGAGCAACGGGCCAAATTCTGCATTTAATGCAGAGAACTTGGAAGCAGCTTTAAAATTAATATCAACTTGGGAAAAAAAATTTTCTGACACACAATTCTATACAGATTTTAAACAGAATATAACAAATAACATTGTTAAAACTAAAACGTGTCATACAAACAAGCGAATATATATTGAAGAATTTCTTCCTGAAATAAAAAAATTATTTGTCGAAAGTAAAGCTCTTATGTATCCAGCACTTTTACCGGAAATACCTTTCAGGGGAGGAATTAAACTTACAAAATCTACATATTCAAAATCAGAAGAAACGTAAGTATTTTCAAACTCTTATGTACTACAACATATTATTTTATTCTATTTTAATATATAATTTTATTCTATTCTAATAATTTCCAGTTTAATTGCACTGGGCATAGAACAATTTTTACCATTTGTTGCATCTAGACCAAGAAAACTTCGCACAAAGAAAATTCTATTAGTTGATGCTGCTCAACTTATTTGTCACTATCTGCTACCATGTAGAGATGCACAAGGAATATTATATCATATTAGAAAACGCCGTGTTTCTAAAGATGGAAATCCGATTAAGGTATGTACTGAATAATTTTCAGACTCTTATATTAACTATACACGTATATAGCTACAGTTTATTTACTACATTTAACTACAGTTAAATACATTTTATTGTAGCATTATTTTGAGAAAGGTTATGCTCCTAGAATAATACATCGCATAACACTTGATAATAAGCCCAAAGCTCCAAAAGATCAACCAATAAGTATTTTACCTTTAAGATGGCAAATTTATCTCGGTAATGTAAGTATATAACAAATATGATTTCGCTTATATCTAATTAAAAAGAGCTATATCATGATACTTGATATGCAAAATTTTATTTGTACATTATATTACACATACAATAATTGTAGGTTAGATATTCATCTTATGTAACATTTAATGATAATTACTTATTTATTATTACAGCAAAGAGAATACAAAAACAATTCATTGAAAAATAATTACATATTTGATTCAAACAGTACTCTTGGAAAACAGTGGATTAACATGAATGCAATAATGAAGTCATATCCTACTGTCTCTAGCAATCATCCCTTAAGAAACCCAGTTGTAAATATATTACCGAAAATATTACCTGCGACTGTAAACCCAAAAACCTTAATTACTGATAAAAAAGATAGTCTTAGTATAAAAAAAAATACTAAACTCAATGATGACAATGGCGAAAAACAAATAATTGATAATAATATACAAACTACAGGGATGGTTACAGGAATAAGTAAACCTAACAAAAATTTACATTCTATAAAAACAGCTACTACAGATGCAAAGATGGTGCAGATGGATAAATTACCTGATGAACAAAAAAATAATACTAAATTAAATAATATATCAGCTGGAAGCTCAAAGCTATCCAAAGATACATCACAAATATCAGGATTACCACAAATACGTAAAACTACACCTCGATTAGCAAAAACAAGAAGCGCACAGAATATGAAATTGATGGCGCAAGTTTTAGGTTCAAAAAGTTCGACCAACTGCAATACATTAAAATCTAAAGAAAAAGATATCATGGATAAAAATATTGACGAACATTGTACCGTATCAAAAGTTGTGAGTCCTATTTTGTTCCATTAAGGAAAATATTTAGTTATCAATATCTATCTAAATTATGATTTTTGCATAGGATAATGAGGAAGAGATAGCAGAATTAATGCTAGCTAGTACTACAATAATAAAGGACCCTGTAAGTAGGAAAAAGGCTAAACAAACTAGAGAATTGGAAATTATTAAAAGATTATTAAAAGCTGATAATCCATTGACCGAAGAGGAGCGTGAAGCAAGTAAGCCAGTTAAATTATAATAATTTTATGATAAAATAAATTTTTTGGTTTTTTTTCTAATCTGTATTCAATTTTTTTTTGTAGAATTTGCAGCATCATATCTTCAAAAATTACACTTATCATTGGAACCTAATAATCCGGAAATATTTAAGACTGTGATAAAGTTGTATTTAGACTATAGCGAAAAACTAGAAAATATTAACCAAACAGTTATTGACCCAATATTTCCTGAAGAATTTGCAACGAATAAAGAGATACAAGATAGCGCGATTAAAAAAGATATACTCACAATCAGATTATATCAAGATGTCTGTAAAAGGTTGCAAAATTATCCAGAAATGTGCACAGATTTTCTATTATTTTTAAAGCCACATCAAGCCACGATGATTGGTAAATCCATAGAATATATGATGTTACAAAAAATGAATGATTTCGTCCATATTGCGCAAATATATTTTGCTAAGCAACCATCGCGGATAGCAAAGATGATGCAGGCGATCACACAACTTTCGTCTGATCCGCACACAACTCTGGAAACTATTCATACCATTATAAGTCCAGTTTTTAAAGGCCATCCACTCATTATGGATTTATTTTTGCAAGTTTTACCTACTGCAAAACCTCCTGAAAGGTAGCTATAACTGTATAACTATATGTATTTTATATATTTAAATAATCTCAAAAAACAAATATTGCACAGTATTGTATATAAGACATATCATACAAAATTTTAATAATAGATTTTCTTAATGATGAGTTTGGAGTTTATAGTTCCTGTGTCGCAAAATCGGCGCATCGATTTCAAAATTTCACTCGATATTCAAAAATAGTCGTTAGAATAATACATGCAATATTTATTTGTAAACATTGTAAAAATAAGCATTTTAAAACAAAATGCGTCAATTAAATTTATTTGATCTATTTATCATTTTCTCATAAAATATGGAACAAATCATAATTGTATAAAAATGTATTTTTGATATTTTTGTCAGCTTATTTGTACCTCATATGTTTGAAAACTTGACATGTCCATTAGGACCTTACGATAAGAACATAATTTATACTGAAAATGCACCAGAATTATATGAAAATATAGAATTACCTACAGCATCATATCAGGAAGATCCATATGGTGGAGAAAGTTGTAAATGTGATTGTCATAACATAGATGACCCAAATCTTAAAAATAAATCAGAACATTGTGTTTCCTGTGGTACACGGGTATGCGCGCCTTTTGATAATATCTAATTGTATAACTTTTGTATTTTTTTCATATTACTTTGTGTTTCTCTCTTTATAAAGATTTAATGAAAAATTTTTTCATCTTTTTTAATAGTTTCTTAATGGAAGAATTTATCTTCAAACGCCTGAAGGATTGCGACCTGCAAAAATTACATTTCCTGGAGAGCATCAGGAGAAACTGGAAAATATTGCGCGCGTATCGTTAAAAATAGTTGATAAAGTCATTCCACCAATTTCGTCTAAAAAACGACGAAAATCATCGAAGAATGATTCTAGTCACGAAGAAAATTGCCAGAAGCAATGCGCTACAAAATATTCGCCATTAAAAAATAATGAAGATAACGAGAAAGTAGTAGCAAAGTCTAAAAAGAATGTCAAACTTGCAATTAAAACAGATCAAAAGAAGGCTTTAAAAAGAATAGGCACTGTAGACGATGCAATTGTGAACAAAAGAATACGGATGTCTCACTGCAGGAATAAACGAGAAAAGAAGACTGAAGAAATCGATGTCTCATTGGAACATAATGAACTTGATATTACAGAGCATGAGAAAACGAGTGATATCATAGAAACAGAAATCAATAGCTGTATGCAATCGTCAATGCAAGATAATTTATCAAGTACTGAAATAATTACACAAACTTCTGCAAGCAATAGTGCTGATTGTGATTTAAGTAAGTTACATGTAAATTTGTATCGATTTGTATCGATAGTAAAATTTTATTATTAATAGAAAAAATAATGAGAATTTTGAAGAACGTCAACTTTTTGTTTTCAGATTGTAAAAAAATGGGTACAGAAATAGCAATCGTTGAAAAAAAAATGACAATCAAGAATAATATCCAGTTAAATTCTGATTTAAGGAACACTAAACCGTGGACACGTCAAGAAGATATGATTCTACTACAAAGTGTTAAGAAGGAATATTCTGAAAATTCATTTCAATTAATTAGTGAAAAATTAAATAATCGTACTGTTGATCAGGTAATGTTTTTATTTCTAAAATTCTGTACACAATTACATATTTCATATTCTTAATACATTTATATGCAATGACTAAATTATGTTGCAGGTGAAAGAGAGATGTCAAACTTTACTTTCTTTATTACAGAAAATAATGTAATAAATGTAAATATGTATATATATTATATATAAATTTGGATCTCTATGAATAATTATATATTTTAAATCATTATAAAGATATTTTAGACGAGAATAATATAATAATATTATTATAAAACATCCGACTTTATGTTGACATTAAGAATATCTTTAGAAAATTTGCCTATAATAGAAAAAAGAGAGAAAAATTTATCGATCCCAAAATATAACATTGCTTAACTTAAAACATCGCAGTGCACTATTCGAATTTTTTTTTATGTAAGAATAATTAATATTAAATT